AAGTGTCTGTTCATGTCCTTGGCCCATTTATTGATTGGGATATTTGTGGTTTTTTGTTTTTTGTTTTTTGTTTTTTTTTTTTGGTGCTTAGCTTTTTAAGTTCTTTATATACCCTAGAGATTAGTGCTATAACTGATGTGTAAGGGGTAAAGATTTGCTCCCAAGATGTAAGCTCTGTATGCACCTCACAGACTATTTATTTTGCTTAGAAGAAACTTTTTAGTTTGAGTCCATCCCATTTTATTGATTCTTGATTTTACTTCTTGCACCACAGGAGTCTTATTAAGGAAGTTGGGGCCTAATCCCACATGATGGAAATTAGGGCCTACTTTTTCTTCTATTAGGCGCAGGGTCTCTGGTTTTATTTCTAGGTCCTTGATCCACTTTGAGTTGAGTTGTGTGAATGGTGAGAGATAGGGGTTTAATTTCATTTTGTTGCATATGGATTTTCAGTTTTCCCATCACCATTTGTTGAAGAGGCTATCTTTTCTCTAATGCATGTTTTTGGCGCCTTTATCTAACATAAGATAATTGTAATTTTCTGGGTTGGTCTCTGTATCCTCTATTCTGTACCATTGGTCTACAGTAAATGTTCATCATCGCTAGCAATTAGAGGAATGCAAATCAAAACTACAGTAAGATTTTATCTCATTCCAGTCAGAATGGCAGCTATTATGAAGACATTAAACAATAAGTGTTGGTGAGGATATAGGGGGAAAGGTACACTCATACACGGCTGGTGGGACTGCAAATTGGTGCAGCCAATATGGAAAGCAGTATGAAGATTCCTTGGAAATCTGGGAATGGAACCACCATTTGACCCAGCTATCCCTCTCCTCGGTCTATACTCAAAGGACTTAAAAACAGCATACTACAGGGACACAGCCGCATCAATGTTTGTATCAGTACAATAGTTAAACTGTGGAACCAACCTAGATGCCATTCAATAAATTAATGGATTCAAAAAATGTGACACATATACACAATGGAATATTACACATAATAAAAGAGAATAATATCATGGCATTTGCAATAAACAGATGGAGTTAGAGAAGATGATGCTAASTGAAGTTAGCCCATCTCAAAAAACCAAATGCTAAATGTTTTCTTTGATATAAGGAGGCTGATTCATAGTGGGGTAGGGAAGGGGAACATGGGAGGAATAGATGAACTGTAGATRGGGCAGAGGGGTGGGAGGGGAAGGGAGGGGGCAGGGGTTAGCAAGGATGGTGGAATGTGATAGACATCATTATCCAAAGTACATGTAAGAAGACACGAATTGGTGTAAATATACTTTGTATACAACCAAAGATAAGAGAAATTAACAAAAAAATAAGAAAGAAGTAAATGCTAAACAAGACTTGAGTGAAGTCCAGAGGAGGGTGGAATCTCYTATCCTTGTGATATTCAGCATCCTAGAGTGCCATTTGAGCTATTCCTTGCAGGGCAGTTGTACATTTGTTAGCCAAGGTAGGACGGGAATGACTGTGCTGTGCCTGTGACTTGCCTCAAGTTTTGGCTTGCATTTCTGCATTTGTGCCATTTTTCTTGATTAAAAGTCCACATAAAGGACCTGGTTATAAGCAACAGGTTCCAGATGCAGCTGCCTTAGGTAGAACAGGGCAGATGGCCAAGAAGTGAGGAAAAGCAGATATAGGGGCTGCCCTTCCTAGAAAGATCCTGTAAGTGGTTAGATGAGAGCATTTTGGGGGCTGCCCAAAATGCCCATGCTGTAGCCACAAGGTGCTCAGTGTGCCAACAGCACATACCTTCTGCTGCCAAAGAAGATGCTCAAGTTGTCCCCAGATTTATGGTTTGCAACAGGCCTTTTATGGTCCGCACTCAGGTCTTGTGTCCATGCCAGAGCTGCAAAGTCTTATATGAGCAGGTGTCTGGTACTTACAGCCTCTGTAGTAAGAGGCTTTGCTTCCCACCAAGCTTGCTGTGGGAACGTGGGGAGGAGGGTTCACCAAACAGGAAAGGGCTTCAGAGCCTGAGAAACCAATAAAAGAAAGTAAATGTACTTTATAGGCTTTGTGATTTTTTTGAGCATACTCAAGGGATGAGGGACCCTAAACACAGAGGAATGTCTTCTCTGTTTAGGGAAAATACTGAGAGAAAAAGAAAAGATGATAGAGCAAGGTGGGACAAGGATTTTAGAAAAATGAGGATTACCTGGCTTGGTTGTAGATTGCAAAGAAGGGGAGTTTCAGAGGTGGTTTGGAACCACCTTGTGTTTTATGGCTCAGATCTTAAATGCCTACATGCTAGGCATGGTTGCCATGCCTACACACTAGGCATGACTGCCATCTGTGGAGCTGTTGGGAGGTGGTGGAACCTTTAGAAGGATGGCTCTAGTGGAGGGAAGTCAGGTGTGTCTTGGAAGGGAACCTTGGGATCGTAGCCCATTTCCCTCCATGCTGCCATGATGTAAACAGTCCTCCTCTACCAGTCGCTTCCCACCATGAGGTACTGTGCCATCACAGGCCCAAAGCAATGGGGCCAAGTGACCATGGACTGAAACCTCTGAAACCATGAGCCAAAATAAATCTTCCCTCTTTTAGATGTTTATCCCAGGTGTTTTGAAGTGACGAACATACTATGGAAACCATGTTGAATTTTTATTTGAAATGTTTGCCCATTGTTTTCTTAGCAGAGGGATTGTTACTGAACATTTTTACCTGGAAAATAACCCAGTAAGAATTTGACTTTCAAAAATTAATTCTRTGTGACAGAGAATAAGTTCAGTGGCCACTGCTGTAGCCCATGTATAAATTAGAGATCTGGATTTGGGCTCAGAAGAGAGGGAAGTGAGGATCTTCTTCACCCACTGGAAGGAAATTGAGAAGCAAGACAGAGGGTCCATGATGGTTGGGGTGGGGGGCTTTCCATTCAAGATGACTGGAAGAAGGTGGCACAATCAAGGGGCAGGAGAAATTGATAATAGTAATGGGAAAATAATAAGCTGTTTCGGAGAGTCCAGCAGGAGTTGAAGATGAGGACTAGAGCTGAGTTCCCATAGGTGGATTTAGGAGTTATAAAGTGTTGGCTCTAGAACATTAGAGGGCAGAGATGATCTGATCTCATTGCTTCTTTTATTTTAAAAATAATGTAAAATATATTAGTTATGTTTAGTAGAGAAGGTAGTGGGAGTACAAAAAAAAAAAAAAAGAAAGCAAAAGTGTGCCATAATCTTTTCCCCAGAAATCCCTTTTGCCTACCTAGAAAACTGAAGTAATGCATGTACATGATTAGAGCATCTAAACCTTATGGGAAATTTTAAACAAAAATGCAAAAATTGCCTTCCCAGATTTCTGACCCCCAGGATCCCCTGCACAGAGGCATGGTAGTAAAAGCATGTACTATACACATGATTTTACCTTTCATTTTTTTTGCATGACATTTCCAAGATACATTAAGTAAAAACACTTAAGATCTTCTAACAGTTCCATGCATTTTAAACATCTTAGTGGTGTTTCATTTCATGGCACTTAAGCTACAACCCTGAAAATGTCCAATCACCGCAGTCTCAGCAGCATAGGACCAGCCCTCCCTGCTATCCAGCCATTTCCTCCCATAGAGAATAGACTTCCTCCTTCAGGCTATTCCACTGCTCCCCTACTAGTCCCTCCTTCTCTCCTGGCCTGTTTCTCTTGGACAGCAGATCCCCTGAGTGTTATGCCTCCTGAAAGTCTTCTGTGACCCCCAAATGATCAGGGCACCTCTGCCTTTCCTGTGGGATAAGCTCCTTGAGGACAGGACTGTGTATCTTTTAGTCAGACTTGTATCCCCAGTGTCATAACAGGAACTAATAAAACATTGACCCTCTGGCTGTTGTGATAGCATTTTGAGACATCGGGCCTGCAAACATGCTTATAACGTCAATTCCATGAAGATGGAGCCATYTGCAATCACATCTAGAAGGAAAAATCATTCTGACCCTTATTAAAAATGGCAGGGAGGACTTTATTCAGGAMTATTACAACAAGGGGAGAGATTGAACTCAACTTCCAATAATATAGGGCAAGTGGGGATTTAAAGTCGAGGAGCAGGGCAAGGAAGTGGATGGAAAATTTCTAAAAGAAACCTGATTAGATATTAAGAATTGAGGAAAAGGAGCTTGGTGAAGGTCATTGGTCAGGGGATTCTCCTTAGACTGGCTTATTTTCAGAATTCTTTGTCCCCCCCTGGACTCCATGCGCCAAGGACAAGGTCTGGTAGAGAAAAGGGCTCAAAGGAGCCTGACTAAAGTTTGGTCAGAGGGAGTTCTTCTCACCATTAGCCAAAAGAGCCATGTGATGGCCTTTAATATCTAATATCACATCCTAATAAAGATAGGAAAGGCCCTGGGGAATCAAAGTTCACACATGGAAGAGCTCTCGGCCTCCAAGAGCTGCCAGAGAACATTAGCTTGGTCAGTCTCCAAGATGAACTTGCATTGTTCTTATGTTTGAAAGCAGGCATGATGAAAAACCTACTCCACCCTTCCTCCCAGGAGAATCCTAAAGACTGTGTTTCAAGAAAAACCTGTCAAATGTTGAGCTCCTTAGAAATGGAACTGGTGTCTTCCTCTGAGATATTGTTTCATAGTTCTTAGCTACAGAGCTAACCTGGCCTGCGTCCTGCTGTGACCTCCAGCAGAAAAAAACTGCTGTTTGAATTTGTAAGCTCATGTTCAGAGGGTTGGTGCAGTCTTTATGATTTCTCTGAATAATGTTTATTTCCCTTTCTACCCTAGTAGTCCTGGTTACTAGGACTCTAGTACCCCTAATCAGCCTCAAAAAGAATTGAGCACAAGGAGCTGACAGCTRACAGTCTGGAGGCTRGAGCTGAGAGTGTGGGGTCCCCTATGCCCTCTGTCAGGAGTGTTTCTAGGAAGTGGGTGTGGCAGGTGACATACCAGGCTGTACTGGGTCTCACAGCGCAGGTGAGGGCTCCACCTCTGTACAACACTGTCTTCTTGGGGTCTACGACACTCACTTCCTGTGTCTCTCTCCTAGATCTTGCCTGGCCTGTACATCGGCAACTTCAAAGGTGAGTTCTCTTTTTAATTATTGAGAAAATCTGCCATCTTAACAATTTTTAAGTGAACAAGTCAGTGGCATTAGCTACATTCACTCGGCTGGTTGTGTAACCATCATGACTCTCCATTTCCAGAACTTTCTCCTCTTCCCAAGTTGAAACTCTGCACCCATTAAACACAAATTTCCTATTTCCCCTCCCCAGTCCTTAGCAGTGTGAATCAAGCTGTAGTTGTCCTATAACTGGCATATTTCACTGAGGGTAATGTCCTGAGTCCACACACATGGTAGCAAGTGTCAGAATTTCCCTCTTTTTAAAGACTGAATAATATTCCATTGTGTAGAAAGACCACATTTTGTTTTCTATTCATCTGTTGGTAGACCATTATATTGTTTCCATCAAAAATAAGTTCACTTTCTAAAAGATCATTTTTAGACTCCTCATAATATGATTGGCAGGCAAGGTGTAAACTGTCTACACACACCTGTCCTGGAAGTAGCCATCATTTGCACCCATGTCCTGACTCCTTGGCCAAGGCTCACTGAGTGGTGTGGGACTGTGTAGATGCCAACTTGACCTTGGATCCTCCTCTTAACTCTGCCCTTCCTGGAATATTATTATCGAAGTTAGTGAGCAACAGGCACATTTAGCAGCAATGTAGCTTATTTAAATAAATCCTTTATTACTTTTATTTTCGAGCTATGGATAATAAATCTCAGAGGCATGTTTTTAAAAAAAAAATCATCTGGGAAACATGAGTGGCAGTTTTGCTGGAATTGACCTCCCACACATTTCTTTGCTGATTATTCAGTATTTATTGATTTTCAATCAACTGTTGACTATTTTTGACTCATCCACAGAACCAAGCAGATGGTGGGCTTCTAGGGAGGGGACTGGGCCTTCTGCTCTGTGACATTTGAGTTTGGGTAAGTGAAAACACTGGTTCCTTAGCACTGAGATGAGGTACACTTAACAGGATGGATGAACCTAGGAAAATCAGACAAGTCCACACCTGTTTTGGGTTGGAAGCGCCAAATCTGATCATATGAGGCCAGTTCTCCTTCCCCCAATAAGCCGGAAGATAAGCAGAATCAAAACTGCTCCTGTTTTCAGGGCCGGGGATATAGTTCAGTTGGTAGAGTGTTTGCCTTGTATGCAGAAGGCCCTGGGTTCAATCCCTAGGAAGACAAAAAAGGAAAAAAAAAAAAAACTGCTCCTGTTTTCTGGCTGCTACTTAAATTTGTGAGTTCAGGTTCAGGCTGATGGTGCAGTCTTTATGATTTCTCCGAATAACGTTTATTTCCCTTTCTACCCTGCTGTAGGACTCTAGTACCCCTCATCAGTCTCAAAAAGAATTGAGCACAAGGAGCTGACAGCTGCTAATTACTACTAGAACATGTTAAAAATAGTACTGGAGTTCCTAAATTAGTAAGCTCAGTAGTTCTGAAAAAAGCAGTGAGTACTTTGTGGTAGCCAGGCTGGTTGCCTGGTGGGATACATTAACCGAGCAAATATCTTTAGAGAGTTATTTAGTGAGCTACTATTAACTGCTTTCATGGGGGTCATCTGTAGGTTTGAGAACAGAGTTTAGGCTATGTTCTTAAAATTCCTAGGTACGTTTGCAAATGAAAATTTTAAATAAACACAGACCAAATTTAGTACTTCTGTCAACAGTATATCAGAATTTTAACCTGACTCATAGAAAGCTATCTTCTTTTAGAGGGATACGCCACGCACAGCATTAAGAAAATGTTTGAAACTCCTTTATACTAAAATCCATATTGTGTTGTTAAGTATTCAATGACACAGGAATCCTTTACAGTTTCGGGGTTCTCGCTTGGGGTTTTACCTATTAAGAGTCTTATTCTAAGCACACCTCTCCCTGTTCAAGTGTTGGATCCTTTGCCGGTGCCTTCAGTTGTTCTTATTAGTATGTGATTGTGTTGTATTCAGTCAGTAATTCACCAAATACTTATTAAATACCAGGCTTGAAGCTTACCTAAAACAAAGGAATAAAGGGCATAGTTTAGCTCACGGTAGAGCACTTGCCCAGTGAGTGTGAAGCCCTGAGTTAGATCCCTGTCCCTCAAAAAAGTAAAACAAAGGAATGTTAGTGCAGTGCATTGGCAAGAAGCAGGAGAGAAAAGTTGTGCTTCATCTCTATAGTGCTGTGAATTAACCTATTCATTCTGCTGCTTGTTGAAAGCTGGCCCTGTGGATGTAGGCAGGTGTTCTCATCCAAGGATATTCAGAGTCCAGGGACAGGTAGGGAACAGGAAGGGGTCTGCAGAGTGCAGAGAGATGTCAGGTGGCTTGCCTTAGAATGCTGGGTACCCCTCTACTCACAGCCAGTGACATGTCCACAGATGAATTATATAGTCTGGGCATGCAGGGTGGGACGGTGACATCAGTCTCATGGGCCATCCTGGTGAAGCCGAGCCAGACAGCACAGTCATGCTATTAGCTCAGCGTCTGGTGCCTGGTGAAGGAAATTTTCACTCCCATCTGTAAAGTGTACCACACTTCAGGTTGTCACTGTCTTGAGAATAATATAGATGCTCATAAAGTATGGACACCTTGGCGTATCTGTAGCGGACAACTGGGCAGTGTGAGTGAGCAAGGGTGGAAGCCCAGGGGAGAACGTGGACTCTTTTCTTGCTCCAAGAAAATGAACCCAGTTATTATCTATGCATTAGTATGGTGTCTCATTTAGTCACTTACCCTTCCTTTTAAATTATAAATACAGTAAACCTAGTGTAATACAACAAGAAGTATAGAAATGTATGAAGAAAACTAGTCACTCCTCTTTCCTGCCCCATCTCCTTCCCTCCCACTCCTCCACTCCACCTTCTCCTTTCTTCCTTCCTTTTGTCCATACCTGCTCCCTTCCTTAATACTCTCTGTCCTTCCAGTGGGATCTCCTACATATTATCTTCAATTCCCTTTTTTTTCCTTCTCTTTCTCCAATTTTGCATCGAATCACAGTTTTCCAACACCTGGTGATTTTCCACCTCAAACCCAGCCCTCGGAGCCAGGTCTTGGAGGATTTGCTGGGAGCCCTCCATTGCAGCAGCCAGTTCTGCCCAGGTGTCAGGAGGAAAGGCAGGGAGTGGCATCGAGAAAGAACCACTCCTGCCTGGGCTAGTGGGTGGGGTTCACTGCTTCCTCACAACTTGGCACAGGCAAATGTAGATGTCAGCTGACAAAGAAAGCCCTCATTGTTCGAAGATGTCCACAAAAATCTAGAAGGGTGGGAACAAGCTATTCACTGTGTGTGTGTGTGGGGGGGTGCTATGCATGGAGTTCATGTTCAAGGTCACAGAGCTTCAGTTCTGTGTCTGCTGGTGATACAGACTGTATCAGGTAGTGGGTCCCATTGGTTCAGACAAAGTTGAGTGAGCCAATAACTGCATTTGAGTCTGAGCTGGTCTTCTGTCAGGTTAACCTGGATTTGAATGTCTTTGCAGCCAGTGTGGATTTGAAAACATTCAGAGGTGTCACAGATTGAGACCCATGGAATAATAAAAGTGGTAGTATATTAGACTGTGGAATTTATTTATTTATTTACCTACTTACTTACTTATTTACTTACTTACTTATGTACCAGGAACTAAACCCAGGGGCGCTTAGCCACTGAGCCTTTTATTTTATTTTATTTTACAGACAGCGTGTAACAAAGTTGCTTAGGGCCTTGCTAAGTTGCTAAGGCTGGCCTCAAATTTGCGCAGTCCTCCTTCCTCAGCCTCCCAAGTCACTGGGCTTACAGGCATGCAACACTGCTCTGGCTTGGATACATTATAAAGAAAACAAATTTATTCAGTTCACGGTTCTGGAGGACCAATTGCATGACACCAGCATTCTCACAATATGGTAGAGAAATCAGAAAGGAAACTGGGTATGCACAGAGGGTCCAAGAATGTGGGGAGGCCCCACTTTATAACAGCTTGCTCTTAGGAGAACTAACTCACTCCTCAAACCCAGAATTAATCCCCTCTGAGAGCAAATCTGATTACCTTCTACTAAGCTCATCTCTTAGCAACACCACAATGGGGATCAAGCTTCTAGTGCATAAACCCTTGAGGCACAAACCACATCCAACCCTTTGCAGATGATAAAAATGACCATATGTTTACCACATATCAGGCACTGTTCTAAGCCTTGTTCTATCATTTAGTCCTTACAGCAGTCCTTTAAGGTGGGTACTCTTACCATTGTCCCTCCTTTACAGATGAGGAAAATGAGGCATAGAAAAGTGTTTCCAAGGTCAGCACCAGAAAGCGTCAGAGCCAGGGTGTGGTCAAGATGAGAGCAGGTGGACTGCCCCGTCTCAGTTCCCACTCCAGGTTGGAAAGTGTCTGGCTTAACTTTGACACCACCTACACCAATTTCATAACTCTAGAAGTTATAACTCAAAACTCTAGATGTCTTTAAATTAATTTCTCATTAGGAAGTAGAACATAAAACAAGAGTGGAAGGTTGTTTGGGAAATGATTCAGCATGTGGCCTGGGCTCGGAGCAGAGCAGAGGGTGCAGGCTCTACTTCCCCTGACCCTGGAGTCTCTGAAGTAGAGTGGCAAGTGCTCCAGAAGTTTTTCCTCCCCAAACACCCATTTTTCTAGAGGGTGTGTTGAGAGGGGTGATTTCTAATGCATGCCCCAATATAGTTTTGTTAAATTTTATTCAGAGATGGTTCTGCTTGCCTTTTGCCAGACTAGCTCGTTTTCCATGGCCACTCTGGCATTCCCCATACCTTAGGACAGGCTGCCCCTGCTCATTTTCGTTATCAGCCTAAGAACAAGAGCTGTAATTCCCCTTCCTAAGGAAGCATGTGGAGTCACTTCGCCCTTTTGAGTACAGAGTCTTCAGATAAGCTCCCTGATACCCCAGTAAGGTCTTACCAGTATCCATGGGGCCTTCCGTGCCAGGTGRGGAATAGACAACCCAGAGGGGACAAAACTGGTGGACATTACTATTTCAGTGCTCACTTTATGCAAAGAAGGTATTTGTTTCTTCAGAAGTCATAGAAGCCTCCAGGGTAAACAAAGGCAGGAGTACGAAACAGTCCAAGGGCCCAGAGAGGTCTTGGCAGACAGGAGAAAAGAATTTGGTTAGAAATTATCTCTGAGTAATTGGCTGTTCATGTTACTTATTAACACATTTATACTTGGGAACAATATTTTTAAAGTTTTATTTTTCCTAATTATAAAAGTAATGTGTGCCAATTAGTAAAACAGATCAACAAATCCAAACATGATTGAACAATACTAAAGAAGATGAGACTTCTCAATAACCCCATATCCTGAGACACCTGTGGCTAATGTCCCTCTAGATTTTTTTTTAACATGTGAATTCTAACCTCTAACTTTCCTGTTGGTTATGAACTTGTTGCTTTTTTTATTCCAAGTGACTCTGAGTAGCTTGTAGAAATAGTACATACCAACACTCCATGTTGGGCTCCATTGGCAAGAGGTCAAAGGTCACTCACTCCATGCCCTCCAGGTCTTGGTTGCAAGGCACACAGGAACTGGGGTTCTTATTAAAGTACAAATTTTAATCACAGAGTAGATCTGAGATGGGCCTGGGAATCCACATTTCTGATACCATGCTGTTAATTGGAGGGCTGCTGGAAACTTACAGGCTTGTGCATACGCAGGCTGGTGCACACTAGTGGCTACATTTTGAGCCTAACAGCTGTGTTCATGACCAATCCGTATGGCCCTAGGTTGCCACCCAGAGAAACCAATGATTTGATGTCAGTAAGAAGACAAGATCTTGGGAGGAGGCATGGAGAAATGTTGGTCAGTGGGCACTAAGTTACAGTTAGATAGGAGCAAGAAGTTCTGTTGTGCTGTCACATAGCAGGGTGACTGTTGGTAATGATAATGTATTGTATCTTTCAAAAAGCTAGAAAAAATTATTTTGAAAGTATTCATCATAAAATAAAATAGATGTTTGAGTTAATATGTTTAATCTGATTTAAATATTTTACAACATATACATGCATCAAAAGATCAAATGACACCCCATTCATATGTACAATTTGTATGTTTGTATGTATCAAAAACTAAATTTGAAAAAAGGAATGAAAAGCCCATTGTCATCCTCTAGCAGTGTTGAGTGACTCCCAAGTTCATGGATGGAGCCTTTGACTATGGGAAAAGGTAATTTCAAAGTAGTGCACCTGTGCAGATAGCACTGAGTGAGATAAAGCAGGCAGCAGGAGAGCTGAATCGGCCTGGGTCAGGTCACTTCCCTTTTCTGTAGTCCATGGTTTGTATGTGGTATTGATTGGGTTCTGTATTCACATCTGTATAACATTATCCCTAAACCACCTTTTAAAAATCTTAATCTATATTATAAAATTATATTTAGATTATGATTATGAGATTAGTTGTGTAGTGCTGGTTTCACAACTCTGTGAATGTACTAAAAATCATCACACTGTACACTTTTAGAAAGGTGAATTTTTATGGCATGTGAATTATATCTCCGTAAAGCTATTATAAAAAGAAAAAAAAGCATAGTCTTCACTCCATATCTTCTGAGGATTGGTTCCAGGATCCCCTGTGGATACCAAAATTTGTGGATGCTCACATTCCTTATATAAAATTCCATAGCATTTGCATATAACCTACACATATCTTTTTGTATATTTTAAAATTACTTCTAGATTACCTATGATACCTAATACAATATAAATGCTATGCAAATAGTTGTTATTCTGTGTTGTTTAGGGAATAATGACTAATAAAGTCTATATGTGTTCAATATAGATGCAGTTTTTTTTCAAATTTTTTATCTGATATTGCAGAATGTGAAACCCTTGGATATGGCAGGCCCATCATACATTTAAATAAATATTGGTTGTTAAGATTCAAATGCTGGAAGAATTAGAATCTGGGAGAACCCTGGAGAAGACCATCATATGAGCCTGCTTCATCAGGCTGTTCCCATTTGGCTACATTGTCTGTGGGCTTCAAAAGCTCCAATTTATCTTGTTTCACTACTTATCTAAAAATACACATATTGGCAATGATTGGCGAAATGCATTTTAGTATGAATGTGGGAACCAGCTGCCTGTGGGTTCCTAAAGGATTCCTGTTCCTGCCTGTGTTAGTCAGCTTTCTGTTACTATGATAAATATAATAGGCAGTCAACTTACCATGTTGTTTTGGCTCACCATTTTGGAAGTTTCAGTTTGTGGTTGTTGACCCATTGCTTTGGGGGCCCTTGTTAAAGTAACACATTGTAATAGGAATGCATGATACAGGAAGCTGCTGATGTTATGGCAGCTGGGAAGAAAAATAAAGAGAGGAAGAGGCTAGTGTCTCACCAGTCCCTTTCAATGTCACAACCCCAGCAACCTAAAACATCTCGCTACCAGGCTCCACCTCCCAAAGTTTCCATCACCTTCCAGTAGCACCAAGCCGAGGGTCAATCCTTTAACACAAGGGCCATTGGGGGAACCTTCCAAATACAAACTGTATAGTACCGTCTAATTTAAAATTAATCTGGCTAATATCCCAACTTGTGGTAGTGGCTGGGGGCTAGAATTGTGTCCCCATATGTGTGATGGAAACAGTACTGTGCATATTGAAATTTGAAGCTCAATATAGTTAAACAATGAAGATAGTAAATATAAACCAATATTGTACTATTACTTTTAAGGGCTTTTTCCTGACCTTGCTGAGTATTTGGAAGAGCATCTCTTAAATTTCTGCTTCATCCTCAAAGCCCGTTAGAAGTGAAAACTTCTTAGTTCCACTGTAGACCTAGAACTTAATTGGATCCCAGGAATCTGCCTTTCTAACAAGTCTACCAACTAGTTTGGGGCATGTTGAACTCTTAGAACCGCTTGTGCAGAATACACACACCTTACAGAAGGAAAAGAAAACTGGTAAATTCTGTCTCTTAATAAACCTGTTATCAGTTCAGCACCATGTGTGTGTTTATCCTTACATGTTTTTACAAATTGGGCATTACAGATTTGGTATACTATATTTATAGTTTGATTATTGATTTTTCTCCTGGCTTAACATTATATCCTGAGCATTTCCCCATGCCATGAAATGTTCTCCAGAAACGTAATAATAAAGCATTTGCCGTTAAATCCCTTTGAACCTGTATCTTTTGAAGAACTCGGCCAGGCCAAAGGCTCAAGAAAGCTGACTTTTTTCCTCCTTTTTTTTGCTGGCTCCTCATTTTTGTAAACTAGCAGAGGGTTTTAATTTGGAGAATCATGTCATTGGGTCTTTTCTACAGGTAAGAGTATGAGAAGGGAATATAATTTTGATGTCTCTTTAGATTCATATGCAGATAACTTAATAGTCCATTGACAACTGATAGACAATTTTGTTTGGAATTTCTAAAATATGTTCCATTTTTCCCTTTGCTTGGAAGTGAATATAGATGTATAACCAAACCACAGACTTACCTCAGTCTAGACTTTTCCCTGCTTTTGATGTCAGGGTCAAGAAATACCTAGAAGGTTCCTCTGTCTTGTAAGTGATCTTTAGTATTTAGTTTCAAGTTAGAGCACTAATCATTAAAAGGTAATTGGGCTTTTAAATATTTTAAACATCTTTATTTTTACATGTCTCATGTAAAAAGACTGACCTGAGGATGAGTGGCTTATACACGCTGACTATAAAATGACCTCATAAAATGACTTCTTTTGAACAACAGCCATCATGATCGTAATGTTTATTAATTTAAATACATTTTAAGTTTTAGAGCAACACTTTGGATCAAAAGATATGCCAGTCAGAAATAAATTTAGGCAAAATGCATAAAGTAGTAGCCCTAAATTCCTTCCATTTSATTGTTCTAGATAGGGTCAATTATGAAATTTCAAGAAAGAAATGTGCACGTCATGTTGTGTTGTAATTAATTTGCAGAGAATATTAAATTGTCCATCCCCTTTCTTGGATGACAGATGCAAGAGATGCAGAGCAATTGAGCAAGAACAAGGTGACACATATTCTATCTGTCCACGATAGTGCCCGGCCCATGTTGGAGGTAAGAGAGAACCTTGTATATGTTCTGTGAGAGCCCGTGCATGCATTTGTATTCTGCATATGACATTAATGAAGGCAGCTGTATTCTTTCCAACATGAGTGTGCTCCTGTGATTGCTGGTGGTATTAATTTTGGGCTCAGTGCAAGTTTATGTTTATGTTCGGCCTGTGGCCTGGTGGAAGGGTGTGTCCTTCTTTCTGATTGTACTCCTGCTGTATTGCTGGTTTGGCTTTCTTGGTTAAATGCCAAAAAATTAAACTGAGGCTCCATTTCCCTCTGGATTTTAAGGACATTTAAAATCCATTTTCAAGACACAGATGTAGCTCAGTGATGGAGAGCTTGCKTAACATACCCAAGGCCCTCTGTTTGATTCCCAACACCACAGGAACAAAAGTAAAGAAATAAAATAAAATCTATTTTTATTCTTTYAAAATTATTTCTGGTTTTAGAATCCACAAGAATTAAAGTTTATTATTCACTCCTACCCCCACCCCCTTGTAAACTCAAGGATCTTCTATTTGCATTCAGGAGTAAAAGACAGTGGAAAGTAAATTGTCCCTGATAATTTTCCAGCACTACTCTGGGATGGAGACTGTTAGTGTGGAAATTGTCATGTTTTACCGTTTTGGGTAAATAGGGCGTGTCTGTTTGTACACTAATTCCAAAAACATCTTCAATTTACCCTGATGGATGGTTTGAGCTGTTGGCCAGGAGTAAAATCTATTTCTGTTTGTTAGCCTTGACACAGCCCAAGTTGCCTCTTTTTAGAAAATAATGCATGTATGGTTGTGATGTGTGTGTTTTTCTATTTTAGGGTGGGGTGTTGGAAAGGGAGGGGTGCTTTGTTCTGAAAGAAATAATCCTGGTTCAAGCTGTTTTTATTGAAATTCATATTGTACAAGAGTAGGTAATAATATTTATGTTAAATTTATCTATTTTCTTTAGCCATTAGAGCTGGCAGATTTTGGTTAGTGTACAACAAGCTAAATCAAACAAGGATATAGAATGATAGATGATTCTATTAAACAATATTGTACCAGAGAACCAATCATAGATGGTAAACAAACCTCAGGACATCCCTCCAGATCTGGGAGCTGTACTTCCTTCTGTTGTTTTAGCTCATAATTTTTTTTGCTAAAGTTTAAAAAGTTTATTTGGAGCATGATTTTATCAGAAGCAACAGAAAAACTTTTTTTTTAAGTCAACATTTCTTTGAAAATAATTACTGTATTTTTAAAACCAATAATAATCATTGCTGTTTAAAATATAGCCAATCTATGGCCAAGTTAAACTACAAACTGGTCTTGATTGATTTCCTCTTAAAACACAAAAGGAGACTTGAGGTTTCCTTTATTTTAACAAATTACATAGAAGCTTCCTACCCTCACCCACCAGGCCTGCCTTGCCACTTCATACTCCATCTTATAGAACACATCATGTGGCCGTGGCCCTTAAATCTCTCCACATTGTTAGTTCTCTGTAAGGTACAAGGTCTTGGAGTGTTAGAAATGAGGTAGCTCCCGCCCGTATCTGTCCCACCTCTACCTTCTACACATAGAAACCACAACTGGAGAATGAAASAAGTAGGTACAAAGAGACCACTGTTTGCATAAAACCTCAGAGCTGTGGGCAAACTATGTTTCTTCATCAGTCACTACAGAATCTTTTTTATTCCCTGGATATATTGTCTATAATGATAAAAATTCTGCCTTGAAAAAGAAAGAAGGGGGTGGGAAAGGATTGAGGGAGAGAAGGAAGAAGGGAGGAAGGGAAGGGTTATGTGACCCTTCTGTGATGGCTTTTACTTAGAAACATCTTATTGCATTCTTTGGGCACTATTGTTACCTTAACCTTATAGTAACTTTTTCCATGTGATTTCATATTTATTAAGGGTTATACTGTAGCATAAAAGATTTAAACAATGCCCATCTTATTATATTTATTTTTAACATCACAGGTAATTCTTGAATATGTTATTTTAAAAGTCATCAATAATCTCTATTCCTGCACACATGGGGAAACCAGGGCACTAAAAGTTATTTGAGCTGATGTGCCCATAAGAGTACAGAGTCTCAGAGGTTTCAGAGCTTTGTTCAACAATCCTCTGTCTAAAATTTTAAATTCAGTTCATGAGTCAGCCTAAAATGAGTCTAGGACATTGTCGGAGCTGGTAGGGAATTCACAGAGGGGTTTTATTCTTCCATAGGTCTACGCTGTGGGAGGGGAAATAGGGTAGGGACGGAGGTGTGAGGGGAGAGTATAGGGGGTGAGTTGATCCCCTTGCCTGGTAGGGGACCCTAAATGATGGTTGAGGAACAGGTGTGGGAGAGGAAAGAGCTAGCCCCCCTTCATTTTATGAAATCTTCAAAACCAAGCTTGTTTACTGAATGGCCCCTAATTTACTTTGGGCAGCTGTAGTCTGGGGATGGGAATAAAGTGGAGAGGTGGGTACCATCTAAAATGGAAGGATTTGAGGGCTGTTACGTCCATGTAGCAGGGTCAGGATCCTTGCTGCCAGGAAGGTAGGCATTGAGCACTTCACTGTAGATGCTTCCTTGGTTCATTTCCAACTTATATTTCAATGAGTTTTAAAGCTCTAGGGAACTTTGTATCAATTTTCAAGGCTTTTAGAATCTTTAGGTCTAATTCTATTGCAAGGGCAGCTAAGCAAGAGAGGATAGGCATATTGAATTTGGTTTCTAGAAATGAGGAAACAGATCAGAGGTTTTCAGTATTCTCAAAGGATAGGCTATTGAGCCGGCTATGGTGGTACACACCTGTAATCTCAGGGGCTGAGATGGGAGGATCACGAGTTCAAAGCCAGCCTCAGCAAAAGCAAGGCACTAAGCAACTCAGTGAGACCCTGTCTCTAAATAAAATACAAACTAGGGCAGAGGATGTGGCTCGGTGGTCAAGTGCCCTGGGTTCAATCCCCAGTACTAAAAAAAGAATAGGCTGTTGAACAGTGGGCCCAGGATATGCTTCTTTAAGGAAAAATAAATTAAGGGAATTGAACACACCAACATTGCCCATCTTATTATATTTATTTTTAATCTGGAAATTTCATAGCAGTGTTGACAGAACAAAGCTTCAAAAGATTTGTGTTGTAGACATGTATTTATCATGTCTTTCTGAGCAAGGGTCCAATTTATGTTTTGCATGTTTGTGTGACCACCTACTAAGATATCATGGACTACAGATCATGGGGAGCAGGAAGAGGTAATATTAGGCCAAGGACCTGCTACCCCTGGAGTTAGGGTGAGCCTCCCAGGTGCATACTTGCTCAGAGGAATGCCATACATCTCCCAAAGCTCAAGCAATGAGAGTAGAGGACCTTGTTGCCAGCTGAGGCTATCTTGGTAAAGATCAACATCTTTCCATATTGTTTTCCTCATTCTGTTTTGAGAACTTGCTATGGATAGAATGCAAGATTATCATCTGACTCCATCATTGTGTGGGCAAAAAAACCTACACTTGGGAAATGTGGAGGGAATTGCCAAGATCCCACAGCTGATCAGAGGGTGGGAAGCTCAGTCTTGTCTCCCAGACTAGAATTTTCCTTCATGCCTCCCGGCCTCAGTCCCCTCTTGGTATGGCTAATGCTTCTTCTTATTTTTCTTTCTTTCTTTTTCTTTTTTTTCTTTCTTTCTTTTTTTTTTTTTTCTTTTTTTTTTTTTTTTAGTTTTGGGATAAAACCCAGGGGTGCTTAACCACTGAGCCACATCCCCAGCCCTATATTTTATTTTTTAATCTTGAAACAGGGTCTTGCTAAGTTGCTGAGGCTGGCTTTGAACTCGCAATCCTCCTGGCTCAGCCTCCCGAGCCTCTGGGATTATAAGCATGTGCCACCATGCCTAACATGGCTGATGCTTCTGACAGCTGTATTGCCAGATTAGCTTTAGAGTTGCACCATTTGTGCTCTTACTAGCAGTGTATGAAAGTGCTAGTTTACTGGTACCATCAGCAGCACAGGACTTTCTTAAGCTCCTATTAATGCCAGGCCTAGGGACAGGTGCTCAAGATAACAGTAGTGATTTTTTTCCACTCTCTGCCCTGGCAGAGCCCTTGGTGTAGAAACAAGATATATATATATATATCCTGGTTGTTTTATAAACATTCATGATCATTACAGTCCAGTGAGAGAAGGCAGCTGGCAAGTCAAATAGGAAGAGAGTAGAATAGAAGCCCAGAGAACAAGGTCCCTCTTCTGTGCATGAATTTGAGGCTATTTGTAGTGAGCATACATTTGACTGGACCTTTAGTGATGACTAGGAAATCAGAAAGTTTGTTTTGTGATATTATAGCCAAAAGAAGGCTGGTAGAAAAAGTCAGCATGTGACTTCCTCTGGATGGCCTTGACTCCTCACCACAATCTTAATGATTTTCCAAGGATTCTGAGCCCAGCAAGGCAGATGATGTTGTCCAGGTTCCTTYGTGGTATAACTCTTCTGGGTAACACATCATTGCTAATGCCTGGAAGAGTCAGTGCTGGAACCCGAGGCCTTCTCACTACAAAGGCAAGGATCTTCCTGCCAGACATAATCCTTTGGGACTGTATTTTGGTATCAAAACTTTGGAGCATATGTTACTGGCTCACTATAGGAAAAAAAAATCATTGACACATGTGTTCATTTCAAATACAAAGATCCAGATTTGTAATTGTAATATTCAGGGGTATAAAATACCTTGTTAGTTCTTTTCCCTGCCTAGGACTTGGCCAAAGAATTTCTTTTGTTTACTCAGAACTATTTCCTAATTTTGGAGAACAGATGTGAACAGGTGTCTTCAGCATCTACTGTTTATTGTAGATTTTAGCAGGGGTGAAAACTCCTATCTCAGAAATGGTGATTTTTAAAATCAGAAACCTGATATTGTTTGTAGGTGCTGAGGAAGTAATACTGAGCAATGAAAGGTTTCTCCCTTCCCCTGAAAAAAGAAACACCTCTGTCTTTCTAATGTAAAAATTTCAGAGTTTGTTTCATTTTTCATTCTTTGTATTTA